ATGTGTGTATATGTATATACATATATATGTTAAAGGATTGCTATAGAAATAGATCATTGCCTGTTGGAAATTTTATGGTATATAATTTCTTTATAAAATATTGCAATAACTATTTATACTGTAATGAAACACATCATTCTCAAACTTTAATTTGAAGGTATTTATTTCTCCATACACACAGTAACCCGCGAATGAAAACTCGGATAGATTTGGGGAAAATCCTTTTTTCATTTTAACGAGTCATGTAAGCATGAAAAATTTTCAAATACCTTCGTATTTTTTTTCTAAACAAGCGCAACCTTGGATAAACATATAGAAAAGTTGCATATTTCTCTATTTTTTGCTTAAATGTAATTTCTTCCAAAGAATTTGGATTATTTTTGGACTATTTTTATTAGTTTCAAACAGGCATATACTTTTTATGTCCAAATCCATTTATTATTACTTCATAATTCTTTTCGCACTATTATAAGATCGAAAAAATTATGAGATCTATCATTAAAGGGGTTTATGATCGATTTAGTGGTGGAGAAATAAGTAATACTTAAAAAATACAATAAATGAGGTAATGAGGTCAACAACTGTTATAATAAAATCGGAATGTTATAAATGTCTTTTCACATTTTTCATAAAATATAAGGTGCAAGGAATAGAGAATAAAATAAAAATTGTTCAATATCTCGTGAATTTTCAACTAAATAATAAGGAAAATAAATATAATTCTCACAGTGTATACAATTTTTTAACGAACGATAATTTTCATGCGTCGAATAGAAAATAAATGAAATTGAAACTAATATAAATTCTCGAACATATTTCTACTTATCGATTAATAGGGAACGCAAATATTTTAATTACAAATATCACATAAACACTTGATAATGAAAGGCGTATTATCCATTAAAGAAGTGCGTCGCAATTATGTTACAATACTATATCGCGAAGGACAATGTAGTATAATAACATAAGTAGTTAGGACATCCTTTTCATGGTTAATATGATAAAGCCTTCACTTACCAACGCACATGTTCACATAATTGCGCAGACAAATGTATTCCATTTCGCAGCCGCTATATTTCGAAAAGCCGACTGTATCGTATAATGTTCTTAACACAAAATACAAATAAAAAATAATGAATAATAAATAATGACATAAAAGCAAAAGTGCATATAGAACAATTTGGCACAAATATACGATTCATCACATTTTAATATACGACGATCACGTTTTAATTCGAACATACGCAAACCAAAATTTTCATTATCACACGCAATCAATGTATATGCATATAAAAAATGCGCGCAATAAAAAAACAATTTGATTAAATGTTTGTTTAAAAAAAAAATGAGAAAAACTTCATTCAATTATTAGTACTTTATATAATTCGGTAATTTACATAGGAATTTTGCATATAAATATGTGACTGATCTCAACAATAATTAAAAACCCAATACGTGCTTAATCTCGGCAATGATTAAAATAACATAAAGAACATGCGATAATTTAATATAAAATCGATTGCGTGTGTTACGTATGCTTATTTTCTCTCTTTAACTCTCACAAGACTTTTTTTTTAAATATACCTATTCAAAAAAATAATACTTAACTGTTCACTACAACAAAACAAGTAGAAAAGAAAAAGCATTTGTTTTCAAAATAAAATTAAATAAGTTCTCTATACAAAACTGGACCTGCACCGGGCAGTGTGTCACTACGGCAGAATTGCATCAATCATAATACTGGCACAGTGAGGCAATGACCTTAGGATTCTCTAAATATACTATTAATAAGTTATTAAACGTAGTTATCTGGAAAACTATGTAATCATACGTGCTGCATTAATTATTATCATATTCCTTATATACCATCCACTTCCATCCGTTTAATTCCTACATTATTTATATATATATATATACTGAAAGTAAGACATTGAAATGACCGTGGACAGTTGCAGATATTTGATATAATCTTAATTCACGATATCAGATAAAATTCTGTCAAGATATTCATGAAAAAGTACATCTAAAATGATTATATTGATACCTAATTTGGTTTTTCATATTTTCCGCGCAAAATAAAAACTCAATACCTGACACACGTATTTTCCATTTGAAAAAAGCAAATGCAAAAGCATTGCATGTTTTATTTGAAAACATGTACTTCTTTCTTATCATTATCATTAATCATTATTTTCTGTTTAGATGCTCATTTTTTGTCAAAATGCGTTGACTATACTTTTTCTTCTGAATACTTTGCAAAAATTTTATCAGGGTTAATGTCGAAAATTAGAATTCTGCAGAAACGTGTTGTAACGAAATACACGGATATCCGTTACGATTCTAATACTACAGCGTGCGCGATTCGTTCTTAATTCGCTGTTAAAGAGGTCTCTACGCAAACAATATTCTTTGCTGTAAGAAACAGATTGAAAGCTAACAATTAGTAGATGCATTTCCGAATGCAATTTTAATTCTAGCGAGAATAATGATCAACGGGGACGCTATATATCGCTGTTGTAACAGAGAGAGTTATTATATTATGCAATTGTTATAGTTTGCTATTATTCCGTCCCCGTTCTGTTTTCCGCTGAATGTTGGAATGTATTTGGTATCTTTTACGATTAAGACCCATTTTTCAGATCTGAATCCAATCACAGCCGTTGAGGATGCAATGTGTCGCAACTTAATTCGTTGCTACGATATCTAATGCCCTACAAAAAGATCTCAGATAGCATTTCGTTAACTTATAGATAACAAAGTTCCGAATTTCAGAAACTTTGAGATAGAAATACGCAAAATCTCGATTGAGCCTCATTAGCTTTTGATGCACTTACGCAAAGATATGTTCATTGTGTATGATACATGATGTTCGTGTCATGTGCGCATACAAGTGCGTATTAGATGCATTTATATTGAATGATAAATTACAATCGTGTTGAAAAAAATTGTGTGATTGCTTGTCATAAAATTTGCGTATCTCTATAGCAATACGTAAAATGTTATCTGAGGTTGAAAGTACGATGCATTCATATGTAAGACACTAATGTTGCCTCTTACAACTATTTTAATTCAATACTACTCGAAATAGTTTTAAAGATTGGCCATCTACATTGTGGAAAACAGATAAATAAAGTGTTTACAAAATGACAAAATTATTTCGCGTAAAAGAATTATTTGTACAGATACTAAATTTTTTTTTCTCCTTTTTCAGATAGTGCATCAAAATTAGGAAGGTTTATGAAGAAGCAATATATGACGAACCGTACTAATACTAATATTCCATAAGGATATGTGCTGAATCGACCTTTTGTCAATAACTATCGCTATTGATACGTCAAAATAATATAAGCGACAACACTTTGCACTTTGCTGCACTCGACTACACAAAACAAAGTTGTTATTAATTAAAGATAATACATAATACACTATGAACACGACAAATATACTGAGATCATAGGGCGCAAGATCAAACATCCGCGAGATCCTACGATTTATGCTTTACTGATACCAAATTCTGCCATATCATGACACGCCGAACGAGCGATCTATTTTGCACTAGGAACTACATATTCCGTGACTTGAGCCTCTCCATTATTTTTCGTAATACTTTTAATACTTGCGATGCTACTTCGATTTAGTCAGATATCGACTTCGAACATATCTTGCTCAATCGGTTTTTTCACCCAACTTCCAAGCTGTGCTCTCACAAAGGCATCCTTTAATTGGCGCTTGGCAAGCTATTCGAACAAAAAAGAAGTGTCGAAATACGCTGCGTAAGAAGCACCGATTATGTCTTAGAGAGGTACTGTTGCTACTTCTAAAATAAAGCAGTCACTTACCGAATAATCTTGTACTGAAGATTTTGCGTCAAGATAATGGCGACAACGATTTTCATCGACATCATCTATGGTTTGCAATTTGCCTAAGAGATTAAAGAATCTTCTGAAGAACGCTTGTTTAGATATTCTAGAAGGTTTCCCCAATTCATCTTTACCAGTTGTACAATTTATAACTTCAGCTTCGCTCTGTCCTGAAATATGTAACAACAAAAAATGTATATATCTTGCATCTTTTGTTCGTGAAAAATCAAGAACACATATACGAACCAATCGTCCAATTGACGCTGTAATTGGGCGCTTTCCCTGGCTGCCTAACTTCGGAAGATGTGATGAGACTCATCAACGGTTTGTTAAGTCTATACGGTGGTGGTAAACCTTGAATAGTATTTTCGATACGGCCACACACTGCTCTATACATGTGACTCGGGTTCAAAAGACTGCCGAGAACAATGCTGTGGAAGTAAATTGGCTCGATGAAGTGGCTTAGAAGTGCGCCCTGCACACCAAGTACGTTCCATCGAGCTATTTTGTCCGAACACGACATCGTCAGCAGTCTTTGACCCTGAAATTAAACAAAAATGTCTGTAAGAAGCAGTGAAAGAGTCTTTTTTTACAAAAATGTATTATCGAATATGTATGTGTCGGACTTCAATGGATGTATTATGGTATGTACCATTAATACGCCATCCCAAGTTTGAATACCCTCGTTGCTCTTTACGGGAATAGTCCCTTCGCCAGATTCAATCTTTGTACGTAATTGACCTCTAGCTCGTCTATTGGGATGCTTGTCGATGGACTCGTTTTCTTCATGAGGCGAGAAAATTCTCGCATCTCCACAGGGGGCGGTATTTATGTATAAGTGAAATTGAATTCCTTGCTTTAACTTGAATCCTTTTTTAGCCGGTTCGAGTATCGATTCAATACTCATATCCTCAGTATGCAGCTCTAGTTGTTTGTACAAATATTCACAGAGACACCTCCGTGCTACCACTTCCGCGTGACAGTCGTTTACAGCACCACCACTGACGCTCAAGTGCTCGCCCGAAACGCATTTCGTACCTTTTGAAAAAAAAAGTGATATTTTATAATAGACGTTTAAATATTCAGAGTTTTGTTTAAATACAAAACATATTATAAATATAAAACAAGTTTATGTTTTTTTACCGGTGGTAACGCATATTAGTTCCGCGTCCGCTCCCTTCGTTTGTACAATACCAGCTAAAACTTTACGTCGTGCGTGTTGCGGTTTGCTTTGAATAAGTTCACTAAATTTTTGGTTCACCATCTTGCCAATTTTGTCGGCTAGCATTTGCGGCAAAGTCATTTGTTCTTGCCAGTGCGCAGAATTAGAAAAGGAATTAGGCAAGATGCGAACAGGAAGTGGTATACAAAACGAAGAACTGTGGACATTTCGCAATTTTGCTAAAGCGGCCTTACTCGCCGCTGCTTTTGCCAGTTTCTTGCTTGGACCAGTTCCTTCGAATGTCTCGCCATCGATAGTCACTGATATTGTGAACTTTGCGTAACTCTCTCCGTTATCGGATATGCAGTTATATATAACGCCTGGATATAATTCGTTGATCAATGCCACTGGACCTTTATCTAAAAACTTAGTATTCTTTGGCTCCTGCGTTAATGTTTTAAATGTATGGACAAGATGATTATCACGTTCTGTTACATCACTCGTAAAATCCGGCTCGAGAGGCACAACGGGCTGGCAAGTATTGATAGCTTGATGAACCTCAGGTGTGTTTCTAAACTGGATAATATTCCGTAAAGCAAGCTCAGCGGCTGCATGTTTTGCCATCTTCTTGGTACGCCCTTTCCCTTCGTATGTCTGTCCATCGATTTGTACCGCAATTGTGAATATTGGAGCATGTGTTGGCCCAGTTTGTCCCACTACTTTGTACGTGGCTCCAGTTTTTAGTTCGTTTAATGCACATACTGCGTTTTTCGGTTGTGGATTTTTATGACGTTTTCTTGCACTAGTAATATCTAATCAAATAATAAATTAAAATTTATTATTTCAATGTTATAACAAATAAAAAAAATAATAATTTTTATTGCATATAGAAAATTTGATATTCCTAAAATGACCTATATAGAAATACAATATATGAAACATAAAAAAATATCCATTACCTTCTAGATCTAAGTCCGAAGTTCTTTTCAAGATAGATCTCGGTGTATTTCCTTGTCCCATCTATGAGGCAAATTTATGAGATAATTTATTTCATTAAGCAAATTAATCGCTTTTTTTTCTTTATTTATATATACATACATACATTATATATATATAAATGTATCAGTTCATAGTTTGTTACTTTGCACTTATCAGAAAAGTTTTTTCTCTTTAGTTTCATAGAAATGATAAAAACCTACTTTGCTTTATAATGGGCAAATATTTATTGTTTAGATATTTTATAAATATCAAGCTTCTAATATTTGAATTTTGTAAAATATTAGCTTGTCTGTTATAAAATAAGTAGGTTTTTATCATTTCTAAGAATTGATATTTGATATGTATAAAGTAACAAATCAATACATAGTAATTTAAAAAGCTGCTTAGTGATTAACATAGTCTTTGACTGCTATAGTAAGTTTCTTGCTAATTTATTGTATAATAAGTATAATTTATTGCTTATATATTGTAAGTTTATTTGCTAATTTTTTAATTCAAGTTTTACAGACAAGAGCATACAAAATTTTTATCTAATATATTACAAATTTGCTCACATCTGTCAAATAATATTCTCTATAATAAATTTTAAATTTTTTCTCGTTTTAAAATCGAAGTTTTAAAATATGTATGTTCATTATGACAAGTGACAAGACCAAATTTTTCACTCAGGATTATTAAATTTGGACTTACCAATGCTGTGTGTCCGCTCGGCGAATTTTCTAATGTATTACCATTGGCAGGAACCATAGGTGTATTGCATTCTGAAAAATTGTACATATAAACAGACAAAATATTGCGAGTATATCCAGAAAAATCAATAGAGCCATTTCGTACTTGTCTGACTCGATTGTTGGTTGTTATTTAACAATGCCAGTCCAGTTGACATTGTGCGATCTTATTTTAAAAACCCGGAAACACACAGGCGATTGCCGAGCGTTTGCGAGACGCCGTACACTATGCACTACATCGATTTTAATTATTCTGTGAAAATCCGCAGCGCCATACCGTTTTTTCGCATAATCAACCTAACCTAAGCTTTGACCTATCCCTTCCTTCCTTTAAGTGCAATTAACACAATTCTTCGAAGCAATATCGTTGTTTGATGCCACTATTGGAAATATATGACGCAACATTTACTTATAACAGAATGCTTTGCAATTTTTATTCATAAGAATTTAATTTCACCGTAGTTACGCGTATCAACCGAAGCACTAGCCAGTCAGTAATGGCTTTAAAATGGTGTCCCTGCTTTAGGGCGCTAACTTGACAAAAGGCAGGTGCAGCTGGGAACGTTGCACAAGCTATAAAATTTTTTCACGATTCTTGAGATAAAACGGATCTCGGATTAATTGTGTTTTCAGCCGTTTCCCGAATCTATCATGTTTATTTATTTTTTATTAGTGATATTTTATATATTTTTATTATTTATTACTTTATAAATGTTGACTACCGAATCTCAGGTAGTTAATTGTACTTCAAATCTTTTCTTTTTGTTTTTTTAAGGAAAATGTAAACTACATTATACTCTAGAAAACAGATGGGGGTAGAATGCTAATTTGCGCCTTTGCTAGAGCCGATCCTAGCTTGCGTCCTTAATTACCCTTTGCGCAATGCAATGCGCACATGTGCAAAAAGGAGATGCATCCGAATGGTCGATGTTACCTGATTTATCACGCTTGTAAACAATTTTAATTGAGATTATTTTCTTTGTTGAAATTTATACAATTCCTGTGCACAAGTTTAATTTACCAATCCGTACTTTATATATCAACGTCGCGTTTTCGACAGCCCTAAAAGAATTTTTTAACCGAAAGAATATCTGGCATTCCTCGATTACTTGTAACTTCTCTTGTTTTTAATGATTAACTGCTCAATTATGATGTTACGTATAAAATTAGAAAAATTAGACGCACTAGTCGTAAATATTATCACTATATTTATACTATATTTGTAAACAGCATAGTGTTACAAATAAATGTAATATCGTAATCAACATTTCTGTAAATTTTAATTATTTTCAATTTTTGGATTCTTAAAATTCTTTGCACCACTTTTAATATATTACTATTATAAAATGATTCTAAATTAATTATTTAATACTCAATATCACAGTTATATTCACTTTTTATTTTGTACGAGCTTATTAATTATAAACAGGAAAACTTCAATATGTTTTAAAAGCATTTTTCGTAATTTGTCATAATTAACAATAACAGACTGCAAAATATGTATTATAGTTTATAAATAATAACATAAAGAATCTTTCTTTCTTACTTACCGCATAATTTGTATACTTTGATTATAGGCTCAACGTAAAAGGTGTTTTGCAAGCCACGTTGAACAATTTCGTTGTACGTAATGCGAAGAATATCCAGATCGGAAAATAATCCTCGATTGAAGCACTTCTTAATTGTACGTAAGTCCAGATGATTGATTAAAAATTGCAATTTCTTCAATAGATCTTTTCTCGGAAGATTCCGTAGACGATAACGCCACGCGGCATCGCACATTCGCGAAAAATGTAGCGAACGTTGCACTAATATACGCGTCACCATAATTACGATTTCATACAATTCACTTTCTTGTACACGCATCTCATACACTCGAAACTGAAGTGATTGCCGTTTAACGGAATTTAAATTTTTAGTTGTATTCGTGGTAATAGTAGAGTAACGCGCGTTATTATTATCGTGGAATTTATCTAAAACGTTGCTTGCGATAACGATAACGGCAAATTGATACGATTCAGTATCTCGTTTAGCGTTCGGGACGTGTAAAATCACATCAATTTGCCGCTATTGTTATAGCAAACGCTATTCTTCGATGATTAACAAGCTTGTAATTTCGTCCACGAGCACGAATACCTCACGCACATCACCTGAAAGGCGATATGGCTCATAACAGCAATGTAAACACATACCTACCATCTTCTTTTCTAAACATTCCACGTAAACACTATACCTGTGTCATTGCTCTGCCTACTTTTACTCTTTAGTTTACGGCTTCTAATATAAGTTGTCCTGAGAGACGATGTGACAAAAAGCATGGCTATTTTTTCAAGCATCAATACTTAATCAATTAACAATAGTTTTTTTTTGGATTCTCGCAAACTGCTTTTTTAAGATTGCGTATTAATAATCAGCAAAATCTTATTTTATAATTAATTGCGCGGATTCTTACTTCTTTTATTTTTGATAAAGTGAGAGAAATCTTGAAGTAATTATTTCTGAACAAATTCTGGATAAAAAGAATTGTTTTCAAAATTTTATATTTGTTTGCAAGTTTTTTTTCTGTTTAATATTATCTGATTTTTTTTTATTACGTTAACTTCTTACATGCAGAAATTGAAATAAAATGCATTCCATTGTGGCGAACAAACTGCAGACAAATTTGCCGAATCGGCAAATAGCTTATGCGAGTATTTCATCAAAATTAATATAAAGGAAATACGAAAAATAAAAGCGCAGGGTATTAATAACAATTATAGCGATCGATGGGAAAAATGAATGCAAGTTATAAGTGCAAGTGAAACTGTTCTTAATTATAAGCATATGATGTTTTCTACGCTAAGCCTACACGATGTTTTATGATATGTTGTTGCATATAAACTTTTATGCACTTACTGCGTTTGCGGCTTTTCGAGAATTTGCCATTTTACTGTTCCCCAAGAAAAGGGAGTATGATAATACTTACAACTTTTTCTTTACATATTTGTGTGTTTCTCTTACACATACGTATGATATCCTACGATTACATTTAACTGATTCCGGTTAGAGATATCCTAGCGCGGCTGCACTATGATATACATTTTACGTCGTTCAGAGGCAGCACTTAATACCGTATGAGTTGCGGAGTAAAAATCGATACATGGTACTTCGATCTTCGAAAAATGTTCCGTTTGAAGCAAACTTAATATGTACATATCTAAAACGCTTATATAGCAATCCATTATAAACGTCATAATAAGTATTCACTCTGAATAAATTGTTCACTAAGATATTTATATATTACATTAACTTATAATATAAATTAATCTATTCCAACGTGAAATCAATCCAATAATTACAGAAATTTGCATCTGACATGCTCATGTATCTATATCGTCAAAACTGTTCAACTATTAACAACGTAACATATGTTATATATGTAAAACAATTAGTATCTTATGAAAGACTTCCGTAACACACATATAGATGACTAATAACTCCATATGATATCAAGAAGTGTACGTAAGAGTTCGTACTTGGATTCTATTTTCATAGTACGAATCTAATTAACTTCCCTGCTGACATACACGATACATGGATACACAATCGATATTCACCATACATTTTATAATAGTGTAGTTCGTACTATATATAATTTATAATACAAATACGCGTACACGCGTGTCCAAAGTGCCTTCTCGGATCGGTCGCTACGTGCGTAAGACATTTCGCTTCAGTCTTGTAACATTGGATAATTTGATATTCCACAAAACATCGATGTGTATGATGACCGATGCGAGAAGTGTCACTTGCACTCGTGGTATTTCATAAAGCGTACTTTAACCGCCAATGGCACGTATGGAGAAGAATAATTTTCGTTTGTTTGTCAAATAAAAGAATCAAGTTTCAACTCGAGAGAGAATAGCATTACGATTGCAAAATCGCCAATTGCATTTCTTTGTCGAGCCTTATTGCCGGTTACCGCACGATTTACAAAATTTCACGTACGTGATATAATTCTTTTATATAACTTAAACGTGTCGAGCTAGAAGGTAGATACATTGCATATTTCTATTTTGTCTTGTGCACTCTCGAGTAATATAGTTTCCTTATAGAAGAACATGAAACAGAAGGCGATTCCTGTATTTCCGCGAGATTTCGATAGTAGGTAATCTTTTGCTGCTACAATCTTTACATATATATTTTACTACTAATTTCATTTTCCTCTTTCAACAATATTATACAGTTATCATAACATATACATATAATAAAAGTATACGATAGATTGTTCGATAGATTTTAAGAAGAAATTTATCTGAATAGTTATAATTGTAAATAACGAGCAACAATCTTCTCAAGAAACAGAAAACAAGTGATGAATATAGTAAAATCTCTTTATCTAAGGGCGTATAGAATATTTACAAGTGACAGTTGCGTTTAATTCAATTTATGCACGTTTTCTTTTAATTTTATCGCCAATGAGAATCAGTGAATCTACTACAACATATATCTACGATACATATTCGTCGTGTTAGTTTAAACTCTTTTCAGGCCTCCCAGTTGCAATTTCGTATGTTAAAATTTTTGCTATATTTCGCAACAGAATTCAAAATAGAATTTATTACAGATTTATTGCCATACATATTCAATTTTCTTATCGATTCCATTTTATGTGTGTTCGAGATACCGAGTAACGTTTTCAAATCAATGCGACATAGCTGTTTTACTATCGTGTACTACGATGCTACGATAGTCAATATGAATGTATTGATGCTTACAAGTTTATACACATAGTAACATAACGTAAAAATATAATAACGTAACAAATAATATTTTTAAACGCACGGAGGTATTTGGACTCGTATTTAATGCCTTTAAACATACAAAACGATCTTAAAAAGGATCGAACAATTTAGAAGCACTCGCAAAAATGAGCAAGATATATATTACCTTCTAAGGCGAAATCAATGTCAGATTTTTATTTCGACTTAGTTATGAAGTGTGTTTTACGTATCCATTTTTTATTTAAGAAAATTTTAGATATATATTTCTTAATATAGAATTACACGCACAATAATGCGACTTAATTAAAATAAGTATGTGTTTATTTTTATTTTTGCTTATGTTTCTCAGTAAAAATTGATATTTGCAGATTTATGTTAAACGGACACTATTTTTGTGAGTACCATACGCTTCTAAATTGTTCTCAGGATTTTCTATTCACAATACACACACAATTCGAAGTAATAAATTCTATTCGAATAAATTCAACATTATTCGCGCTCCTTGTTTCTTAATCGTACGGGAAGGTAAAAGAAGAACATCAGTTACTAATCGAAATAACGTTACATATATACATAGCGCATCAGGAAACTTTCGATAGGCACTTTCGATGAGTTGGATCAATTTAGTCTTACCACTAATTTCCTGATACCCTAAACACTAAGTGAACATCCGTTAGAGAATGATAGAAGGAAGCAAGAAGTGTAACATATTGAAAAACAAATCACGGGACGAGCTAGATAACGGTGATAAGAATGCCATGAGGTTTAATAGATGTATCGAATGGAGCATCAAGAGCATTGGTTCATTTTCCACTCGCCCGCAGATATTTTATCACACTTCATCTCAACATATATCTTATAATGGCGGCGTAAAGGCGACTTGCATGTATATTTATGTTATTATTTATCAGTAATGTTCATTCAATCTCCCACGCTTCAGCGCGTCGATCCTCTAAGCGACATACCTCTCGATAGATAAAATCGTTACCAGTCGTAGTCGTGTTGATGAAAGGGATTGGTGCATGGTTGTTGGGCATGTAGTTGGATAGTCGGTTTCACGACATCGAATTCCCTACCCACCACTTCATTGTAGATCTATCAAACAGCAAAAGGAATAGCGTCAATTTTTTTCCATGCAATACAAGCCATTTAAATATGCGAATGTCTTTTTCGCGGCAAAGTATAGATAGGATTTCTCTCGTTCAGTGAGCACAGCTTTTTGTAGAAGATGCAGGTAATAAAACCAAAAGTCCTCCTCCTTTCCTTTACTCATAGAAATATTGTGCCCTCTTGCTGGACATTTTAATTAGAATGGTTTTACTGAACCTGGAAGCTCCTACGAATATACTCGTCCTCTCCTTTGCCAGTCATACCGTAATTATATCCACCTTCGCCGCCACCTCCACCGCTTATAAATGGATTTGTTGGGTTGCCAGGACCTGCGAATTCGTGAAAAATTACAATATTCATCGCTTAATTACTTAATCCACTTTTCTCACTTGCAACTCTTTCTCTTTTTTTTTCTATTTTTAAATGATTGAGAATGAAAGAATGATTTCTCACCTCCATTAGCACCGGGTACGGCCAGATTTCCGCCGGCGGTTTGATAAGTGGCACCATAGCCAGCATCTTGATTAGCTAACTCGTGCAAGCGAGTAGAGCTTAGAGCCCTCGGTATAGCATTACTCGGCACACCGTGCGGTGCCAAATGAGTAGCTTCGGCTACTTGATGCGGATCTTCCGTTTGTGGTAACTCGGACACGAAGCCGGTATCTTTTCTATAGAAATTGATGAAGATAAAGGCTGCTAGGATGATGATGCAAATAAGACCGTACGCTCGGAAAACTGTCGTGGTACCTGCGCATTGAAAATTAATATTTATGGAAACCATCGAATAGATCAATATGAAAATTTTTACGAATCTCTCTCACAATAGCGTAGAATTTGTTTAAATAATTCTTCTTACAGAAGCTACAATAATTTACTCAACTTATTTGTCACTTTTTTTCCTAAATTTTGTTTTGTCAAAATATAAAACATTACAAACTTACCATAAGCCGCAACGAACATGCCACCAATCACCGCTCCGCAACCTCTTCCAAGTCCATGATGAAGCCCTTGAAGAACACCCTGTGCGCTTGAACGTAATTGCGCCGGTGTGTTGTGAGCGATATAACTGCAGCATGCAGCCCACACAGCCGCGTGTGTGATACCCTGGATAAACTCGAAGGGCAACACCCACCACGGATTTTTCAACCAGGATATGTAAAGGAAGCGAAGTACATTTCCAGCCAGACCCAAACATAATACCTGAAACGCGCATTTGTGAGAAAAGCGCCTAGAGAAGGTCTTCCATTTTACTGCACAAAAATAACATCACGCTACGTGCACTCGAGAACTGCAAATCGTATCGACTGATCTTATATCTGTTTACCTTGACGTGTCCCATCTGTCGAATAAGTTTGAAGCTGAAGAAATACGCGAAGATTTCGGAAATGTGATTGATCACAGATGCAACACCGAAGAGAGTCGGCGAGCCACCGTAATCCTGAAGATGCCAGAAGAGGAAAGTGAAAATCAATCCAATGCCAAATCCCATCCACCATGCGACGAAAAGGAACGAGATGCATTTGACGTTTTTAAATTGCTTCAATACTGTCACCCACTCCGGTATTTCTTTTGTCGTTAGAGCGAACATTTTGGTCTAGAAAGAAGAACTCGTTAGAACATGAAAATCTTGCGAATAACATGTGAGATTTTTGTAACAACTCATACAATCGATAAATGAATTTGAAAGACGTATCGCTTCGACAAAATTAACACAAGCTATCATCGTGTCTTGAAAATTGGATACAGACCTTTCCTTCGGGCGGCTGAGGTTTAAGATCTATCGGAGCAGCGGAAGAATCCTGAAGTCCAGGCAGATTAAGCTGCTGCGACAATTGACTTTGAAGCTGCTCTTCCCGCGTTGGCTCAGCTGGAGGTTTTGCAACTTCCTACGTGTAAAACATAAGTAAATATAGATCGTGCACAAAGACGATTTATTCCTATAGATCTTTTTCTAAATTATTAAGCAGGAATATTCTATTAAAATAGATGTTAAAAAGGATTTACCGGCTCTGCGGACGTAAAGTCATATTTGAAATTAATTTGCGTCGCTGTTATTAACGCAGCGCCCATTAGAACGCTGAATATTGCAAAGCAAATTGTGTAATTTTTTTCCCTCGCATCGGGCTTGCACGGATGATCTGGAAACGCAGTGCTATGATCAAGAGCGATTCCGACGAAGAACATAGCCAAACCCCATCCGAGACTTCCAAACATACGTTGATGACCATATCTAATTGTTAAAATTAATAAATTTATAATTAAAACGTATAAAGCCATAAAACTGGAAAAAAGAGTGATGGGATACGTCTGTATAATTTAAACATCGGTATTTTATACAAATTTTTATCATTTTTCGACTTGAAGCGCTCAAAGATTGTAATAATATTTTATTACAATATTACTATAATATTTTAATTAGAAAATTTCGAGACAATTAAAGGACAAGTATCTTACTTAAACAGTAATCTAAAAATATTAAAAAAATATACTGATATTACCTATCAGCATCTTCACCGAGTAAGGTGATAACAGCTGAATCAGCCAATGTTATAGCAGGTGCCGAGAAAAATTCGCCGACTATTACCAATAGTAGCAAAAGGAAGAATGTTTTTTGAATATCCTGAAATCACGCATTTAATTCGCAAATTATTATTAATGTCTCTCATACAGATTTTTCTTAATGTATCTAGATTAATTAATTGTACTTTTATTCCATAAATATAAATTGTTGTTGAAACGGAGTCAAGTATGCAACTTACCGGTAATCTATAGACTATGGAACTAAAAAGCGGCTTCACCCATCCTTTATTCTCTTTTTCGTTGTAGTTCGCGGCGTAAGTGACCGATAAAGGAGACAATTGATTCCCGATAGGATTGTAAAACGTTCTTATGCTTCTGCGACTTCTCATCAACGGTACATCCGCATTCCGTTCATTTTCTTCCTCACTGTACTCAATTTTAATCATATCACCATCCTCCAAGAATATTGGCTTCTTCTCCACGTCTCGTTTTACCATTATTTTCGCGGGTGGTGGTTTCACAGGTGTTTTCGTACGAGAATAAGCTTTTTTTGGAACTGTTCCATCAATTATTGGTTCATTCTGTGAAGTAAATATTTTCATTGCATCATTTTTTGCATTATATTATGCAATATTAACAAAAAGTATGCGCTAATTTTTTCTAACTGTATAAATTAATTAAAATAATTTCAACTGAAATTAGCTACTGTTATATTTCCATGGAAATCATTAAGATATCTCGAATTATTTATTAATACCTTTTATTTAATTAATATTTATAATTTAATTTTATCAACAAGAGTATTCCATTTTGTTGCGTACTATTTTACCTTGATTTTCTTTATTTAGTTATTAAAAGACGTGTAGATACCTTCATAAAGCGTTTGTATTCCAAAACGTCGGCTGGACGATTTTGCTTTTGCAATGCCTCCATATCGATCGTCTTTGCGTACGCATCAACATTATCATCAGTTTCTAATTTGTGCGTAGGATCCTCGATGTTGCCTTCATCCGTGACGGGCGCTTGCCTTCTAACTCTGTTGTTCTTCAAGTCGTACATGACAGAACCGTCGAAATGAACACCATTTTTCCCAATGTTATGAGATGTTTTAAACAAACTAACTTTCTTCAGCGCATTTGGCTTTTTCGTGTGATCCAATACTTCATTGTCATCCGTACTCCGCCGTAATCTTTCGAAGACGACATTGGACGCGACCTCCAGATACTCGTCCTTATTTTCGGGATAGTATAATTCATCCAGATCGGTCGATCTTTTCATTCTCTGTTCTCGATTGGATGCCTCCAGATAAGGGGTGTCATTCGTTCTAATCATACAAGAAGTTGGCGGAGGCTGAACGAAGCCCAACGGTAGAGTGAAAATGATCCAGCAAGAAAGTGAAGCTAATAGAATAAGTTTGCCTTTTTGCCATCTGTGAACAAGCGTGAAAATGACATGAATTATTTATCTTTTTACTTTTTTTCAATATTTAATAGTGAATATTTACTCTTGTTATCGTTCACTCTTGAGCAAGAAATCGCGCACTGATAAAATAATGGATATTATTTCCCACTGAATCGCAAATCTTTGTAAAATAAACGATCTGAAATCGATAACATCGACAAATGCGAATTACTGCAGTTTTTAACGCATGATCTTTCATTCGTTTCCTGTTGTTTATGTTACCGCGCGAAATATATCAATCAGTCGTGCTTAGCACGCATTTACAAAGCAATTTGCGCAAGTATCAGAATACATTTTCAATCTCAGGAATTATCATAAACGATATCCACTCTGTCATTGTTTTTTTTTTTTTTTTACGAGACCATATGGCGCCCATAATCTTATGATTTTAATTACGACACTCCTTTAGTGTTTTACATAATACGTGCATTGCAATCGATGCCTAAGTGATGTAACGCAAAGAGAGCCGACGTGAGAGCTCACCTGTCGGCCAAGGATCCCCAAAAAGGGGCGCTGAGAAATTCGATGAACGGCCTGAGACCAATGAGCAGACCGCACTGTCCGGCATTCATGCCCATTTGTTTGAAGTACACCCCCATGAGCGGAAACAGAGAGCCGAAGGCCGAGTAGAAGAAGAAGTAGAAGGTCTTCACGGTGAGGAGCTCCTGATCGACGGCGCCGAACAGGTACTCCAAAATATCGCTCTTGCCGCGAATCTTGTGTGTGGCTTCCTTCGGTTGTGGGTACATGGTAGGGTCGACCTCACCCTCGGCCTGCGGGTCCACCAACGGCCTGGCGGCCGGAACCTGCGGCAGGGCCCTGCTTCCCGGCTGTCCGGATGCATCCTGGTTCGACATCCCATAGTCGTAATCCTCGTGTCCATAGTTCTGCATCGTTCCCGACTTCGCGTTTCGCGCAGAGCTCGGAAACGCTCCCGCGATTCAGCGCACCTCCGGATTGCCAATCGGATATGTCGTTTCGCCGAAAAAAAAAAACGCGTCGCGAAATTTATTCGATATTCGAGCGATCGCGTTCTCCCCCCGTTTTCTCCCTTACAATTCCCAATACGTGGAGACACCCCGATTATATTCGACTGCCAAACCGGTACTCCGTACCTTCGTGTCAAATCGATGTCGGACTGTATGGGGCAGCTTTGCTTCCAAAATCGATAAACACACCAGTGCGCCGGCGTAACTTTTACCCTCTTACCCTCTCACTTTTACCTCCACCGACGCGATAGTGTCTCAATGCCATATCGACGTAATCTTTCGGCGGATACTATTTTTGCTTTTCTCTTCCGATTTCGTTATCGTACGACTTGTCATTGCTTTCATTTTCTTGTCCTTCAAAGACAGAATAATGATAAATAATGATGATAATTTTATTTATGCAAAAGTTTAGTTGCGTCATTTTTCTACACAATTATATCGAAATTCTATACGAGATGCCACTAAAAACGAAACATTTAAATATCTCATATAATGAATTTTATCTATAAAAACATTTCAATATTGAAATATGTTTAACGATAAAATTCAGATTGGAAAAAAATTAAGTACCATACATTTCTTAATTCCCAATACGTAGTTAAAAATACGTAATTAAAAAAACAGAGTGAGAAGGAAGTAAGAAAAATAAATCGGAAAATTTTTAATTTCTTGAAAGCATCGCTTTTTTGCTTATTTTATGTGGCATATATATAATTTATTTCCTCTTTCTTTATAAAAATCTCCAAATTCCGTTATTAGATAGCAATCGCCTTGATGTCGATTATTTGTAGCTGCTGGAAAATTAAGATTAAATGAGGATCGACGATTATACTATTTTTGTCTTTCTTACGCGATTCTAACCGAGAGAATACTTCCAAGGCTCTCAGGCGACAGATTGTCTGATCAATTCGAACTAATCTTTCTTTAGTATCGGGCAAAGTGCAGTTGAAAGATCATGTTTGTAAAACAAGATTTTGTCCTCGATTTTTTTTCCTGAAACTTAGTTCACGCGAGAAGTTTTTTTCTTTCAGTTGTTTATAACACAAACTTTATCAGCACTTCGATACCAGCACTGATTAAAACTTAATTCTGCTGTGAAAGCTTTCCTGTTAAAAATTAACTCTGCTACAAATTAACTTGTCGAAGAATCTGTCATTAAAATTAATGTTGCAATTCATGTATTCTTAAGCTATAGAATGTATCTAAAGTAACGATAAAATAAAACAATTATATTGAAAGAAAATAAATAACAGTCGCTTTATTGCATCGTCATGTATAAATATTAATTAAATAATTGATTATTATGTACAATTTTCTTCATATAGTGAACATCGTTCACGATAATATGTAGTATTTTCGGTTTCAAATTATTTTGCATTATTTCACAGAGGAGGCTTTATCAAGTCCATGTGTGATTGCGCAGGGCATGCAGAAGAGGCCGCAGTTGATGACGGTGCAGGCTTAGGTGGTCCTTGAAACATGCAGGTTTTCGCTGTTTTCAAAAGACGGCCATTATTCGCAGTCCGCCAGTAAACCGTACGAACCGCCTGCTTTCCAGCAACGTAGCTAACAGCACCACCGACCAGCATCTGTAAATTAAATTAATCATTAGTTATTTCAGAATTTTTTACATCAAAGTTTGTGTAGAATAATGGATTGTAACACGTGCATCGAGTTTATAAAAAAAAAACAATGTTTGTAGGAAAAACGAACTTTTTCTGCTTTTATAGAGATACTTCATTATTTAAAGAATATGAGATTTAAAAAGCTTCTACGTTAATGCGTTTCATGAAATAAAAATTTAGTGTTAAATTATTAAATTCTCTAAAAAATTGTTTAGCTTGCCTCGTCGTATGATTCAACAGTTAGTGTTTTTTGTACACAGTAAATGTTGAGATATTTGTCAAATGGATGTGCAGAAAAGTTTGAAATTGCTATAATAAAAGAAAAATGGACTCACCTTGTGTGTTTGCGGTTGGATATATACTGCGAGTATTGACTGGATGTATAACTTGAAAGTTATATTGCGGAATGACAGAAGTTTGGATTGTGCGCTCTCTTCTACCTCATTTGCGGAGGTGAAAGACCAGTACTGATGCCAAGACGGCTCAGGCCGGGTATTTTATACGATAAGTGCAACGTCACAAGTCATCGAGATAAGAGACTCACGCGTCATTTACGACAATCGTTACTGTTGGAGGGAGGAAATTTTTATTTTAGACGGATAAGAGACGGGTGTCAATAACGCGTGGAGAGACGCGTGCATGTCTCGAAGATCTTGTTTGGTCTTAATTAACTTTTAAGTCAAATTGATAAACTTCAGCGGAATATGTTGCTCACATCCGTGAGCAAAGTTTCCGGCAGGGCAACATATGAACTATGTACCTATTGACATAATTGTATGATCGGGCAAATTGACGTCTAACATTGCAGTTTGACGTAAAATCAGAAATGATAATGCGAGAACGACGCAAACGCAAATGAGAACGCTTGCAACAATAAACAAAACACATTGCGTCGATTTGCGTCGTCTTGCGTTGCATGTCGCCTTGTCATCGACCTGTCGCTATTGAGTAGCGCGAACAGTATATCTTGAAATTGATATTTCACTGCAGCGACTTAAATAAATAAAAATTTAATGAGAATAATGAAACAAACAAAGAACAAAGTTGTATAAAGAACAATTCTTTATTTGGCTAAGAAGCTCTGATAAAATAATATCATACGGCAGCTCTCGAATAAATTTGATAAAAATGTTAATAAATGATATGTAAAATATGTACTACGTCTCTTTCTCTGTGGCGCAATTTTCTGTTTTATTTATCATACAGATAATCAGAGTTCAATTAACATAAGTAGCACAAGGTGACCAAACCAATCGTATTATAATACAGGAAAATAGTCTTCACTAACGTCTATTAACAACGTGTCACGTGGGTGTAAATTTATCAGCTGAGTGTCTAAAAATATAAAACGAGCCCGATAACAATCCGATATCTTTTTGCAATCATGTTAAATCCATCGTTTATTGCAACTGCATCGCGATACCTCATCACAGATTCAACATAAATACAACACTTTCCAAGTTTTTATTAAGAATAAAAATTTTAATTAATTCTATGACGCAAAAGTCTTTGAGAAAAAGGCTCTGCGATATTTAATATCGCAGTTAATCGCTGTTTTTCTGGAACTAATACTTTGTCTTATTATTTTTATGTTTCTTTACAAGACAAATGCGATAGCCTGTTTTCGACGAAATAATTTTTTTTTTCTAGACAAAGTCCAAACTTACTTAATTCTCCTGTAGTATGTAGAAATCAATTTCAATAACATATCTGTCACCTCTTCATTGCAACGACTTGCGTCGTTAGACGTGACGTCAAGTGTCGATATAAATGTTATTAACATACCAAGAAAAAATAAATGACGTAGTCATATGCTCCGATTAAATTTCAAGTTATTAGTCGTTTTATCGAAGAAAAAGATTCTTTAAAGATTAGAGAAATCTGTGATTAAAAGGATACTTAATAATTTAGGGATATCTTTAGGAAATATTGTAGAGAAAAACAATAAATATTTTATCGGTATTTTGTTAAATATTTCCGCTACTAATTGAAAGCGTAAAACGTGATTGATATCTCGAGCAGCACGCGGTTTACGCATGAGAAAGATTTACAAAGTCATCGACGGAAACTTTGCACAGTGCCGTCATTCTGGCTGCTATGATTCAATTGGTTCACGAGAGTAGCTCGTAAAGGAAATCTAAAAAATCCCATGACGCATGGATAAGAAGTTTGCGTGAAGAGTGCACAAGCTGAAACTCACGTGACACTCTCGTGCCGTTGTAAATAAGAATACGCAACGTGATCGTGATACGTGATTACTGATTTTGATAAGAATCCCCCTCGTACATTACCCCCGTGATTTTGATAAGAACCCCCCTCGTACATTACCCCCGTGTATTTAATGATGTGAGCTCTAAAAATTAATTTCTTATAGGATTCCTAATATATAATATAATATAATATATATGTAAATCATAATTTTAAAAAATATTTTATAATAGAGGAAGCCATGCCAAATTATTGTTATATATAAAGTTATCGAAAACATATGGCAAAAAATACTTTGACAAAAAATATTCCGTCATTTATAATTTATATTACTAAAAAATACTGCTTTAAAAAAATGATAAAAACTTCTACATACTTTAAATAATTCTTTTTATATTCTCAATGCGATATTAGAGAAAACCGTAAAAACATTTTGAAAAATACATGTAGAATTTTATAAAAAATTTAATATGTAGATATTTTCAAATAGTAAAAGAATATAGTATAATTATTTCGTAGTACGATTGCTTTCTTAATATAGAAATGTATACAAATCTTTGGATTAACACTAGACTGTGATACAATCTTAAAGATAACACATGTCTATTGACTGCACCTTACAGTTTGATATACATCTTTGCTGGGGGCATTCCCCACTTATCATTGATACATTATCAATTCTTTATCACGAAAAGCTGACTGCCACTTCAAATTGGAAGAACGACGAAGTTAAAGAAATTAATGTGTAACGTTTTTATAATTATCATCATGCTATCCAAAGATATTAATCGAATGTGTGATATCAAATATCATACATTATTGCGATCGGCAATTTAAGTTAAAAATAACATTTTAAGAGATTGTAAAAAATTTCAAAAAGTGAATATTTTTATATATTTATAATAATTTCGTGTAATTTTAACGAAATACGAATAATGACACAAAGCATGACGCGTTTAAGTTTCAAGCTGAATATAATCTTCTAATAAAGTACATATGTTGTCACGAGCATCTTGAAAATCCTTTTCTTCCATACCTTCAGCTAGATAATGGTGAAAGAAAGCTTTTTTCTGATACATCAAATCGAATTTGCGTAGAAGTCTAGTCCAAGCATGCCTAATAATCGTGTTATTACATAAGCTTGTGACTGTTTGCTTTTTGTTTGCTAAATCACCACCGGGAATCGTAACAATCGGATGACGATTAATTGTTATCTAAAATACGAGAAGCAGTGAAAAGTAGAACAATGTTTAAAAATATTCACATGACAGCACGCTGAAATTGGAAAATATTCTTTTTTAATAAATGATAGTTATTTTATACATAACAAGCGAGTGCTAACAAGCTACAAATTTTATTCTCAGCATGCTGTTCGGAAATAATGAAAATGCCAGTACGATACATTTTATTTGCGAGAAATAATAATTGTTAGTACCTTATAACAATTTTTACACCAATCAACAAAGCGTATGGATCCTTTGTTTTTTAGAAAAGCAATCGCATCTTTAACATCAAAGACGTTTACATCTCCGCGATACAACAGACTGCAGGCTATATACGTTCCTTTGCGTGGATCGCATCTCAACATCTATTAATCAAATGTAAATTAGACATTATCAAGTATTGATATCAATCTTATTTTCTTTGACTTTTATGTTCTGAGTAAATTTAATTATCATTAATTTGTATCTATAAAATTTAATTCGCGAGAATTCGTAGATGTATAATATAAATGTGTATTAAGGCCTTAATTGTTTCAAAAACCCTTCTTTTTTAATAACGATAATGATGGTATTTTTCAAAAACATTGCGCATGTATATATGTATACACACTTGATTAGCAGGTTGGAAACAGTCGTACGTAATATTCCGAATCGATAAGTTATACTGCCCTTTCTCGGGAGAAATAATTGGTGCGAAAGCAATTAACGGGAAATGTATTCTTGGATATGGTACAAGATTTGTTTGTATTTCTTGTAGATTGCAATTTCTAGAATCGTTGAGCCTCAACGACGCAGTAATATTAGAAAACACTTGTGCCTGCACGCGGTTGAGATTCGTATACATTGGACTCTGAACTTCTAGTTTCCTGCAATACGCTCAGTAAAAATTAGATGAAAAAAAAATCGGAAATGTGGAAATATCTCGGAAATGTAGAAAATATTTTCTATAAATATTTCATAACTTGTTTATGAGATCTTAATATTTTGTAGATGTTAATAAAATATCGTTTTTATATTACTCATTCTTTATTCTGTATTACATATTTATAATAATCCTATTATCAATCTAACGTTGCATCGGACTCCGTACCTACAGATATCATACAGCGCTTCATTGTCTGTTACAAAACAGCAGTCTTTGTAATCCAGAGTGTGGTGTGTCGTTAAAATGGCATTGTAAGGTTCCACAATTGCAGTGGAGATATTCGGCGCGGGATAAATAGCAAAATCCAACTTGGTTTTTTTAGCATAATCTTCATTGAGATACTCTAGCAATAAAGTTGCAAGACCACTGCCAGTACCACCACCTACTGCTCTATAAATTCATTTCTATTTTATTCACTAACTTCTGCTACTTTCACACACGTTTTTGAAATGGATGTATACACACAAATAAACCTAAAGATATTACCTAGAAATTATAAATCCGTTCAGATTTGAACATTTTTCACACATTATGCGAACACGATCGAGTATGATATCTTTCATCTGTCGATCGATCGAGTGAAAACCTCTTGCGAAATTGTTCGCAGCATCTTCCTTGCCAGTAATTAAAGAATGTGAATTGAAAAGGTTTCTATAAGGACCAATCCTGATCTCATCGATTACTGTTGGCTCTAAGTCAACCACTACAGTACGCGGTGAAAATTTTCTCTGTAAAATTTAAGTTATACTCGGCAATTCACTAATTTAACGTTTTCAGTAAAATTTAGAGTTTCATAAAAATATCTTCGTGAATATTTTTTTTTTACTTCTACTATTACTAAATTTTACTAAATTACTAAAATCAAATTTTATTTTTAAAAAATAATTATTGTTATTCCCCAAAAATGACATTAATAAAAATGTGCTCCTCAAAACTATGTACAATTATTGTTTAAAGATTTTTACTTGTAATGGTTCGAAAAACACGCAGCATGATTTTTCCAATGATTCATTTGCTCGATTAAAAAATCCATTGGGTTCAATCCCGTGCTCCAGACATAGTAACTCCCAACAAGCATTAGATACTTGTGTTCCAGCTTGACCCACAAAAATCGTAACTACTTCATCAAACGAATTCATTGAGGCGTTTGTCTGACATATAAAATTTTCTATTTGTCAAAAATGATCAGGTCAAATGTTGTCGATGACTGATTTAAACATAATAAAATGTTTACTTAAAAATTTCACATGGTTTGTAAAACCGTTCAAAAATCTATGTAAAATTTCTTTCGGCCATGTTGAAATAACTAAAAGATGTTTATTTGCAATTTAGAGAGGATCTCTAAGATCAATATTGTACACCGAGAATCACGTATGCTTTGACATTTAGTAAATATTTACAATCACTAGATATTTTCAGGTCGGATGCATTATGTCTCGGTATTCGTGTTAGTATAAAAATCAAAATTACATCTTTCTTAATTTAATATAACATATAATTTATTTTGCAATTTTATGTTTAATCCTTCATCACACGTCAAATATTTATATAACCGTCAGATTGTCAGACACAGTTACAAAATAATACATAAATATAAGAATATCTACCGCATAGACAAGACACATGCTAGTGAATTACTAGTTGTCTTTTATAATATAAATTTATTATATAAATTATATAATTTTTTAAGTAACAAATATTAAGAGAGTCACTGGTACATTATTATATTATATACAAAAGAATAATCAAATTGATAAACTGGATAAAACATCATAAAATGTTTTAGAAGACAAGATATTATTTTAGTTATAATTATATTTAACAAATTGTAAACACTTATCTTAGAATATTAACCATTGTTAAAATAATTTAAAATCACTGAAAATCTAAAACAGATCTATGTTTCATATTTTGTTCCACATGTTAATATGTATTAAAGGTATGAAATATGTTTGCGCATCTTATATTTTATTAGAAATATAAGTTGTGCTTTTTTTATGCATACGACTTAAATATAAAATTTACAATTATATATCACAATCATTAATATAGTGATATATATATTTAGAAATATAGTAATATTTCCATAGTGCTCATTTTATGATTTCTTATATATACATATCATAATCTTTTATATATAATTATAATTTGAATTTTGTTTGAAAATTCTTTTGTAAATCTTTCTGAAATATATCTTAGATATGGAAAATCTGTAATTTACGAAGATGTAAAATCAAAAAGTGGCATTTCAAGGGGTGTTAAAGGTGGTAATGGCGCAAGACATAGAGAATGTTCTTCTGGTCTGATTTCATCATTAGAGTTGACAGAAACTGCATAAAGACGTTCTGTTAACTGACGCACCTCTTCATCCTTTGCTTCTAATTGGCTAAGTAAACTTCCTACAAGAGATCGCAATTGGCTATTGACAGTTCTAAGTTCTTCTATAACAGTGCCTGTGTCTTTTGGATGTTTGAAAGTTTTTTCATTGTCATCAGGTAGAGATATCAAACTCAAAAGACTATCTTGCTCGTCAATAGTTTTGTATATGGCTTGACGTAGAGAACCATCATATTTATCAATTCTTATCTCTGTGCAATTATCTTTTTCGCTATATTTAACTACATGTTTATTAAGAAGGTCTTTCTGATGATTTTCTAATGTTGTTTTATACTCTTCATATTGTGCTTGTTTCATTCTGTAAAAATAAACAAATTTCATATAATAATAAAAGTTATATATATATACATATAACTTGTATTTTATATATATATA